CCAGCCCCTACTAGCCACCTCTCACAGAGGATGGAGGCTGCGCGTCGCACTTCTCCATGTGTTTAGCAAGATTGCTAGCCCGAAAATATTTCTTGCCACAGCGCTCACAACGTGAACAAGTAAATATCTTTGGCGCTCTCGGCACAGTAGGGATAGGAGCTTTAAACAACTCCTTAGCCACCACAAGTGCTTCAACGAGTGACTTACAAGGCCTGAGCAGGTTGGCGTCAGCTTTGAGACTAGTCTGCCACATCGTAGGTGGCCTACCACGTCTTTTGATAAGCTTGAGCCTACAAGACCTCACCACAAGACCATCAGCGGGTTTTGTAGTGAGAATCCTCCCTGCCCATCGCAATCTCCTCTGCGCTAAAACATGTTTCGGATCAACAAGAGGAAGTCTTTCCCAAAGTTGCTCTCCATGCACCCTATCTCAGAGGGTCAGTCCAAGGGACATTCTCCTACAGCGATTCAGGAGCACGTCGAGACGCCTCAACGACTCTTCATGGTAGGGAGCAGTCTCCAAACCGTAAAGTGCCGAAGCGAGGACAACACGTTTTATGATAGACTCCTTGGATGCTAGTGACACCTTATTGGACTTCAGGACAAGCGCGAGACTACTTAGTTTCCCAAGAGCCGCTATCGCCCGGTGCCGATATGGCGCTACTAGATCCCTGCCTTTCGGAAAGAGACTACCTAAGTAGACGAACTTATCTACTTCTTCGACGTTAGAGTCACCTATCTTCAAACGCAGATTGGAATCACCCAATCCCTCAGATAAGATCATGCATTTCGTCTTAGGTAAGGACACTTCCATGCCAAACCTAGTCAAAGCTGCCGAAAGCTTATCCAAGTTACGCTGAAGAATAGAATCATCATTCGCCAATAAAACGATGTCGTCCGCGAACAGGAGACATGAGAGGTCCACGGATTCCGTACTGCCCTCGCTCTCACAAGGCATGCTCAAGCTGATATCCAGGTTGGCTTCTCTGATCACCATTTCCATGAAGATGATGAATAGAAGAGGCGCTATTCGGCACCCCTGTCTAGTTCCCATATCTATTGGGAAAGGGTCAGATAAACCTTCCTGAGTTTTAACCTGTGCAACAGTATTACGGTGTAGTGATTCGATAGCTGAAATGAGCTTCTCATCACATCCGGCTAGCCTGAGAGCTCTCCAGATCGCAGGACGAGGTACTTTATCGAAGGCTGCTTTCAAATCTAGAAAAACAGCGGACAATCTGCGACCATTCCGGTTGCAGACTTCCTGACATCGACGTAGTACGTGAACCGCATCTAGAGTGCCCTTCGCTGGGAGAAATCCGAACTGCTTCTCTCCAACGAAACTCTCTGCTAGAGGCTTGAGCCTCTGCCCCAAAACTCCGGAATAAACCTTGCCGATATGATCGAGCAGATTTATCCCCCTATAGTTGCCTGCTACCTTCCTATCACCTTTCTTATAGAAAGGGATAATAATGGAATGTCCTAAAGCTCTGGGAATAGTCTCCGGTTCACTCCACCACTCTTTGCACAAGCGGTGTAAGATCCTCAGACAATGCTCACCACCGGCTTTCAAAGCTGATGTGAGCACCCCATTTGCTCCGGGAGCTTTACCATTATCCATAGAGCAGAGAGAGTCCTTCACCTCATCCAATGTGATGTCATCCCCTCCCGTGCGCTCTATTAGAATGTCGACTGGCTCAAGGGCAGGTAGAGTGCAAGTTT